TGCTGATAACAACAAAATATTAAAAAATCCACCATCTGTTCCACCGTCACAGTTAATCTGGAACACCGGGTGATTTAACGCTACTCCGTTTTCATACTTGGAAGTATTAGCATGTTATTGACTTGGATACTATATTGTTTTAAGCCATTGTGAATGTTTGTTCATTTTAAAGTGAAAACGCCATCTGCTTTTGGCACAAAACTATCAAATTTGCAGCTTCGGTTAAGTGGGATGGTTTGTCAGACATCACCGTAACATCATCCTACGGTAGGACCGTTTGTCAAACAGTGGTTACATGATGTCTGGAGACTTTCTGGTTCAGTTTTGTTTGTTTAGCAACTTTTGCTCATTTGCGTAACTGCTGTTTTAGTCATGACTAGTTTTCTTTGCGTTTGCTGGTTGTAGAAATGGTTTCTATGAAGCGTTTCTTTTAGCTGAACGAACTGCTCGTGTGCGTGCATGTTTTATACATGTGCTAAAGTTAAATGTGTTTGTGCAGAACATTGTGTGCTTTGGAGAAACAGCAGAGGATCAACAAAGGTTCAGTTTTAAAGTAGGTACTGCTCGGTGTCCAGTGTAGCGACATAGCTAGCTTTGTATCATACAGAGACATGCTACTGGTGCTATAAAGTGATGTGCAGAGTTTGTCTCTCTCTTTGTATTTGCAGTCCAAACAACATGGAGAAAAACATTGTGTACTGCCTGCTGTGCAACGAGCCCCAGCTGTCCATTTGGACTCACCTGAGCAGAGTGTGCCTGAAAGAAGGCACAGCACAGGAGAGGGAGCAAGAAGCTTCCAGAGCTACTGCCTCCCAGAAGCTGTTTTCCAGGGAAGGTCGACTCTGGAGCATCTCGGAGCTGCAGGAGTTTTGCAAGGACGCAACATCTTGCACCAAACTCTGCAGTCGCCTTCAGAGTCGTGGCTTTATCGTCACAGACACTCCCCAAACCTGCCCAACAGTCCTGCCAACACAGAGGTCTGATGAGCTTATTGCCGCTCTGGCTCACACACACTGCAGGACACATACGCACTTTCAACACTGTCTTACTGTCACCTTTGCAACAGCTCTGATAAGAAGGAAGTCCTCGCCGTGGCCAAAAAGGACATCGAGTATTTCCACCACAAGCGTGCAGGCGGCGATTGCATCCCCAACGTTGCCATGACAACGTTCAGGCAGTACTGCAAGGCCATCCTGATGTTACAGCACGGACTGATAGCAAGTGCTGTTCAGGAACTTTCTGTAAGCGCCGCCAACAAAAACAGTAAATTATAAGTGATCGTTGATGGAAGTGTGCATCACCCTAAACTCCAACACTTTGTCCCACACACACAGGTGCAGGACTGGATGGAGCGAAGGGCAAGCTTGAGGATGACCATCCAGGAAGAAGAAGTAAGTCCTTTGTTCTCAGCAGCGACTCTCTTCCTGCTCTGTATGGACCCTGGGAGGTGATTTATAGTTGTCATTGACGGCTCTTGTCTCTGCAGCTGTTGGAGTGCTACTTTAAGAACATCCGCCCAGTGTCATTACAAAACCAAAGAGCTGGCAGTGATGACGGGGGCAGGTTCTTCCTGAGAGAAGGTGGGGTCCGTCTGACAAACCCAGGAGGAGATGTACGGCGCCTGAGGGCCAGGTGAGTGCTGCACACCACTGGATCCATACTGGCAGAACTTTGCCAGTGTGGTCGTAACACTCAAACACATGTGTTGCTGCGTTTGTTGGTGGATGTATAACTGCTTCACCTTTCTAATTTGGTTAGATACCTGCGCAGCGACACTGAGGATCCTGCGGCTGGGTCAGCATCACACTCAGCAGGAGGAGTAGAAACCTC